GAAAACCCGAAATCTACTGAGACTCAGCTCCGCTGGATGCTGACCAGACAGACAAGGCCCCGTCAATATGCAGCGGGTCAGAGCCTTGCACCATACCCAGACAGCGCGAGTCAGGGTTGATCAAGGTCAGACAACGCCCCCGCATTATGCAGCGAGTCACAGCCTTGTATCAAAATAAGACCGCGTGCGTCAGCATTGGACCAGTTTCAGTGTCCCTCCAATAAATAGCCTGAGACCAGCGTATTTTCGCGTTTGCACGCACTCGCACCCTCACACTCGCCTGTTCGGGATATATCTGTTGTGTTCCCTTCTGTAGGTCTTTCGCCGGTACTGGTCGCTGGAGCGGGGTCAGCATCAGATACCACAGATTGGCGAATCAGAAGATAAAACAGCTGTGACCCAAAGCTCTGAAGGCCTTTACAGATTGTTCCGTCGGAAGATTTCATTCAGTTTTAGCGCCTTTCAAGGTCAGACTGCAGAATTAACGTTTCATAAGTTTTCAAATGTACTGTCTTAGTTGACCGTTCTGAAGCTTGAGCCCCATTTACTGACCGATCGCAGAAGAGTGACTTTGGGTTGCGTGCACTGGCCAATAGCCTGACCTGAAATAATCAATGCAACGGGTGCGCAAGTCCGTTGGTCTGGGCCCGTTTGAAAACGTACCCTCAGGGTTAGACGTGGTTATTGTGCGCAAACTGTAGGAATTTGTCGTGAACTAGATAGCCCGTCGATAAAACATTCATATCCTTCTCTTACGCAGTAGAGGATAGAGCACAAATGCCCAGTACAGGGGATCTCACAGTCCAGATGTATGGAAGCCGACTCAAGTTTACTACTGTAGACCACCAAATGCAACATTTGTCTCCACAATCCGGGAAAGATCTCAAGTCCACAGAGAGGGTGCCTTCTATTTAGCATATATCTTTGCAGAGCGTTATATCAAGTCTAATAATTTGAATGCAGCGTGATTATTGTTCTGAATCCCATTTTTGTAGGACATCCATATTTAAGCAAAGCATGATTCTGGTGGGATAAATTCACTGGATAGTCACTGCGAATAAATAATCGAACGCGCGGCCAAACACAGTCACTTGTAAATACCGTGTTTTGCCTAAGCATTTTGTTTTAACCAAGAAGTGCTTCGAGATAATCGTCTAGATGGTGCTGGAATGAATATGAACAGCGTTGGAACTAGAGCAGCCGTGCTTCACCACCTTGTGAATTTCGAAATCAACAAAGTGGTACTGAAGCCCCAATAGGCTGTCGCAAAATTAATCAACAAAACATAAAAACATTCCCATTTTCAGTATATTTTACCACTGACACACACCAGCCATGAGGCCAGTCGTGCTACACACTATCATTCTATAAAAATGTTTTCTTCCGGCCGGACAGACCGTTTGCAAGCATTTTGCTTAAAGTGCAAAAGTAACAGATCTCTTGGTAGTTGTTTTTTCCTGTCAACTACTCTTTCCTATGACCGGCGGCAGTAGTGTTGTATTCTAGAGCTTTTCAGGAAATTCTGTGTTATCCGAATTTTGCAAATCAGCTGAAAGCTATCTTTCACACAACTGGAGAAACTTGGAGAAACTTTCCTTTCAACGGAACATTCTATGTCTGAAATTTGTCATCATGCTTGGAAGTCCAGCATTCCTTAGAGAATAGGAAGGATTCTTCATGGCTGCTATGATATAACTGTGCAAGATGGTACAAATTCCAATCAGGTAAGACAGACTTTCCTTCTAAACAGCCGATTTGTCCGGCCTAGTTCGGCTTGCACCTAGAAAGAATGCAACTGTTACCTGTGTCATGAGGAAAGTTCTTTACCACGAAGTCGTCTTATTAGCAAATAACAAATAAGCAATTGCAAACTATTGGACGGGAAAGCAAACGTGTCGTGTGCACATATTTTTTCAAAACTGAACATTCTCCACGTCTCCTTGAACTTTCATGGACATCCAATAACATGACATTCATTGTAAGGGAACACTGCAAAGCAGTTTAAAAAGTTCGTAATAAACTTCACCTTTCATTAAACGCTAGAAAGTTCTTCGAGTAGCCCACAGATTATTTGCATTCCCGATCAGCATTATCTGCCGTTACCCCAGTAGTTGGAACAGTGTAATTCTTTTCGTAGTTATGATAAAAACAAACTGTTTAAAGAGAGCCGGGTGTGCCACTGCGGATGAGTCTGCGAATTCAGTGTATGCTTGGAGCGATATGATTGCCTGTCAAGAGTGATCACTCGACCTGAGCATGATCAAAAAACGATGAAAATTAACCAGCGAGATAGTGGTTTAATAAAGTTACTGACCTCGCCTAATGGCTCTCGATATTATTCTTCTTAGATAGGATTCAGGTTGTGCTGGATAAGCAGGAATTATAAATGTAGTTTTTTAGCGGCTGTCTACTCTTCGCAACTGGTATGGCATGGGAGAGTGGGGTCTCATAAATTTGGTTTTCCTCATGCAGGTGCGTTCATAGCTTGGGCAGTTCGTCTTGGAAGCCCGACCACAGATCACTTACAGATAGAGGTCCCGGTTTACCTGCAATTTAAAATAGAGTTAATATTTCCTAAATTCATGTAAGTTTCGTTTCTATTTCATGGTTTCGGTCTTTGTAGTATCACAAGCTTTTCTTCAACCCCCATGTCTCACGATCTTTCTCCCTAGGATGGGCCAGCCAATCAGAATGAACTGCGACAGACTCTTCGGACTTTGGTCGCGAAGGCCGAGTCAATTATCATCAGCTTTCATTGTGTTGACACACTGCAAAGGGTCACACAATCCAGAGTGTAAGGGTGCTTAAAACGCCCTCTTAAAACGCTTCACTAAACTACCGAAGTGTGTTTTACTGGATTACGCGAATCTACTACTGTGTTCTTGGAGAGCATTTGAGAGTCATCTAGTTGGATACGTAACTGCTCCGGGCAAAAATTTCAACCATATTGTCCTCGGGTAAGGACTAATATGACTAAATCCCTTGTTACGGACAATTTCCGAGTGACCGAGCATTAGTACCGCTCAGTGTCATCGAGACTGAGGCTTCAAAACAGAACCGATCGATGAGGCTAAATCGGTCTTATATGATGCTGCCGTTTTTGGCACATTTACTTCCTCGACATTCGTAGTGTTATTGATCTGATTTTCCGAGCTCCTTTGAACTCCAAGGTAGGTAGCTAGTTTCAGGTATATAGGTTCGTCTAGCACTGCAGTTACTGAGCATTTGATGACATCTGAGAACGGCTGATACAGTTCGGTTAAAGTGTTTACAGGGGTCCCTCACATTCCACTGGAAGGAATAACGGCTGCTTAGTGCGCACCCAACCAATCTGGCATCGTTGCCGATATCGCAGTTCGATATCCAATTTTTAGTCAGTTGAAGAATATACAAACCACCATTGTTAAGGTGGTAGATGAGGCAGAAAAACATCATTTCCTTCCGTACTCATGAGAAACTGATTTCTAAAAAGAGGCCTGGAACAAACTACCTTAGCAAGTGGGTTGAGATGCTTTAGAAATTATAGCGGTTCCGGAACACAGGGAGATTGCTAGGATGGACAGTAGTGTGACAAATGTAAATGAATATATATACCATTGGTCTCTGGCACCAAGACTGAGGTATCGAAATGCCTCCATTGGGTTGTCTTTTTCCGCTACCAATGAACTGCTAAGAAGGGGAACCTCTCAGAAGTGGTGCGATTTTTATACGTGAAAGATTATTGCCCTATGAATCAAGCAATGCTTGGTTTGAACTGTGTGACTGAAGGATGCCGTATACCGTACAAGTGTGAGTCAATCACAATTTTGGTCAGCATCCAAAGTCTGTATGGCTTATACTCAGCAAACAACCAGGAGGACGCTAATCTGAATCTCATTAGAGATTCTTGAGGTGCATTCTTAAGCACAATACAGCTGTGCAGTGTTACTGATCTTTCAGCAGTGCTTCACTTGCTTTTGCCGGATGAAATCTCAGTTTAGCATTCCAAAATCCTCTTTTAATACCATCACTCTGGAATCAACATTAAATTGCTCTGATGCCCAATTGAGCTCATACTTGTAATCACTACTTATACTAAGTTACTGTCGTACTAATAAATGCGGGAAAAAGTTGTCACTCGACTGGTGGCTGATCACAAGATTACGTAATACCAAAAATAATTTGGTATCAGATAAGCCACAGACTAAATTTCCTTGAGTTCTAATGCGAATGGGCTCCAAATTAACAGGTTGAGTGGTGAAGCTGGTTTCGAATTAATACTGGTGTTCATTTTCAAACTGTTATTCTTAGTTTGGCTAGTGGTTTTCCGCATATCCCCGCCTGATTGTTGCCCTTTTGATTTGGGCCAGTATTAATTGAAAGCGCTGTTCGCATGCAAGCTGCTTTTGGTTTATTAACAATGTACAGGAGTTTGGCGGTTCAACCAATGTTAGCTGGTAGATTCATCTTTGGCGATAGGTTATCATGCAGTATGAGTGTGGCAAATTGTATTTTACAGGAAAATTCCACAGAAAACTATACAAGTCTCAATTGTTGGATCTGCATTCTATCCGGTAAATGATTTCTCCTGGGGTGAAAGAAACAAAAATTACATAATTCCTATAGAAATGGACAATTTTGTCCTCCAAAATCAAATAAGTACGCCTTTATCCCAACTAAAATTAATCAGCTGGGTGGAACAGTATTAATCCATCTGACCTTCAGGTGGAGAGTTCGCACTTACTCAACAATCGATTGTAATCCTCAGTCGTGAGTATTGATTGCGTCGATTCAAACATATTTTAAAGTTTTTCATGTGCGTGGATGAATGTAGAAGAATAGGATTTCTGATATATACTGAGATATTTGTTTCTAACTCTCCCTTGATAGTTGCATGGTGGCAGTAGCCCGTCCTGAAAACGTATCTTGCTACAATATGTATTTTGCTTGGATCACATTCGACATATATCGCAGCACTTAATCGTTCATACAGAACGCTAACACCAAGAGACCGCTAACCCTACCCATCCACCTGGTCTACAGATGGCTTTACTTGGTTCAGCACGAGCACGGAATGTCTTTCAGTAACTAGCTGGCTATTTCGATGCGTGTGGTGAATCACGCGATATCCAATTAACTCGTCAGTTGTCTGATTCTTATTGCAAATAATCATTGTTGAGCACACACATCGTCTTTGGAGGATGAATTATTTGAAATTACTTAGCCTCTTCCCAAGTCCGGCCTTCTTGTTACATAATAAACCCACTAACTTAACCAATTCTAAGCAATATATGAGGATTTGAGTTATAGTCATTACACTGAGTTCAAAGACATGAAAATGTCATAGTCATGCGTTATTGAATTGCATTCAAGCTGAACACCTTTGATGGTCGTTCGAAGCTCTAGTAACAGCAAGGTACATGGCTGCAACGAACATCCGTGTGCTGTTGCGTCCTGTAGGAAACAGTGGGACAAAAGCACACACACAGAGGGGGTTCAATGACAGTAGCTTGGTGAACAATAGTTGTGCCTGATGGACACACTCCGATGATCCTGACAGTCGCCAGTGGGATGCGACACCTGTCGAGCACCTGTCTGGCACTTCCGTTGTTCGACCAAGAAAGACATGCTAGCTGTTGAATACCAGCGAATTATATTGTCATTCCCACGAGATTTAGGTGCAATGAGATTGAACATGAAAACTCAAAGTATCCCAAAGTAATCTTGCGGTAGAATTACACTGATAGTGAAAGTCAGGGACACGTTGGTTCGGTTGATTAAGGGAGTATTGTTAAAATGGGTGGTTTTTGGCTAGTGGTCAGGTTGTGTTTGATGCGTGTGGCGGGCTCATCGTCCCTGTGCAGACATAACACTGCTTACCAGAAGTGCAACTTAAGTTACTGTGTATTTTCAGGGACAAATGTTTTTGCCAAGATATCGAAGAAAATTCTACTGCTATAGTTGTGTAAGATAACCCAGGTTGTTTGCAGAAGCAATCAACAATTTCCTGAAGTTTGTGCCATCGAAGTCTGTTCCAGGAAGTGTGTGACTTAGAATAGAGAGTATAATTTCACAATAAGCACCCGGATGCCGTCGCATTAGCGAAGGTGCCCCGTTGTAGATGAGTTGGTTGCGAAGTTCCAATTTTGTGAGATGAAACAACTGTAAAATTTCCTCCTGAGGTACTGTGTCCCATTTCTTCAAGGATTTCAATGGCTGGAAATATTTATCTCACACATCTATTGCCCATTATAAATTTAGAAAACCCTATGTAAGCGAAGCCAAAGCACAAAAAGCCATGATCTTTTTGTGCGGCAGATGGGTTAGCTTCTACACCCTTACTACGAAAAAGTACAAATATCTTGCAAATAGTACTACAAAAGGCTGCCTAGATTCGGCTGTGAGGCCACATCTAGCTCGCTCATTTATGTTCAGCCTAGTGTGACTGTTGAATTTTTCCTTGTCCGCTATTTATCTAGGTCAAAAACACAATGAAGAGCATCTCATTTCTTAATTTATTTGGTTCTTCATTTCATTTCCGTGATTTCTACTGTTGTGTTGCTATTGTGTTTTATGTAGCTTTTCAAAATTATATTGCAAAATGTATTGTCTCTGGCTCACCGTATGTTACACGGCGCGCATTATTCATGGGTTCCCTATTCGTCCTGTTTAGCCATCATGAACATTGGCATTTTATTTTCCATCAGTTTGTCTCCAAAAGTTATTCAGTTGAACAACATCTGGTTGGAAAGTGAAACAAACATCACTGAAACTGTTATAAAAGATCCAGCGCACCCAACGAATCTTGAACGTTAGAATCGCACAGGTTAGCTCAGCCGATCTTCCTTGTCAACACTGGTCAACAACAGAATTCAGCCTAAACATATAAGACGGTATGCCCTACTATCATGCACATAAAATAATACCATTCGGTCATTGACGAACAAATTTCTTCACTTTCACTCACGCCTGGATAAGTCGCGTTACTTTCACAAGCATGACAACTGGATTTGCCACTTACAACTTGGTCGTCTTGCTAGCTCGTAAAGAGAACTGGAATCCAACTGACAATTAAATAAGGTGCAAAGTACACAAATAACTTGCTTTATTATGGAAGAATATAAAGCATTTCATTTGAAGCAAACCCTCAATGCTTGGACGCGTTTACCGTTTCTGTGTCGAGACTGTCCAATACGGACCAGATTCTCTTCCGAACACAATTTTGCGTTGGGTTTCGCAATTCTGGTGCGTCAGCGCAATTGTACGTAGGGGATTTGCTTGTTGGTGCTGATATTTTTGACGGCACATAAAATCGTATGCCTGTTTCTTGTGGTGTCCTTCCAGAATGAATTAGTGGCAGGGAATATCTAGTTTCGTGTGCCCGCATCTTTTCACTGGAACCTATAGTAGGACTCATCCGGCTTCCAGTAGGAATGGAAAATGATTTAACTTCAAATCCCACGTGGTTTTGTTTGGCTGACAGTGATATATTAAAATCCTCTCGCACTAGAGTGTAAGGGTTCCTTTTTGGATAATCAGAGACTTCCAACAGGGTATTTCTTTCGGAACCAGAAGCATTGGTAAAGGGGTTCAGTTGATGTTCTCCAACGTATCGCATGGGTTTGTAAACAACATCGTTTTCCAATTCTTTTAAGACCATTGCTGAAAGTGATTCGTTGTTTCCCCGAATAGGTTTGTAGCTTTCAGCGGGACAAAAGTGGGAATTTCGACTTCGCGGATACCAAGTCATTTGATTGTCCTTCTTTAATCGACGCCTGGCATTGGCGAACCAAGTGGATATTTGGGTCAGGTTCATTCTTGTTGCCAAAGCCAACATAACTTTCTCTCCTTTAGTTGGGTAAGGATTTAATTGATGCTGAAGGAGCCATTTGCGTAACAGACTAGTAGTTTCGCGAGTTGGTACCTTCTTCCCAAAGCTTACTGCAGTGTTTTCTGTTTTACATGCGCTGCACACAATAAAAGGATAGAAGTAGAGTAGTTGGTTGGCCATTATAATTATTAAAACATCGCGACGAATCCTTTCAGATTTATTTCGTTCGTCCAGAGTCCCCACAAGCCACCAACCATAAATGTGTACACTAGGTTTATTCAAACGTTTTGGCGGGGATCCGACCTCTTTCTCCTCACCTGCTCTAAACTAATCAGAGCAAACATTTGATACCCTTAAATCTAGGTGCATATCAAAACGAGTCGATTACCTGCTTTGGTTAACCAACCCAACATAACTAACAAGCATTCCCTCGTTGAACCGCTTAACCGTGCTGTTCTAACTGTTAACTGCAAACCAAATATTCTAGGAACAAATGCGGCTCCTGATACTGCTTTTTTCTTGGAACAACAAAGTGAACTTAGATCACTCACTCAACCTTATAAAGGCGGCCATCAGCTTGAACTGATTAGGGTCTTAGATATGGGCTTACAAAACCCAGATAAACAGAAACATACAATTGACAATTTAGTTGCCTTCAAGTGCTCCATTTAAGTATTCGTCAACTTCAGCTTCGTATATACCGCCTTCATGTGGGCTTCAGTGAACATTCTCACAGATTCCTGCTTAGAATTTGTCTTGGTGTCCACGATAGCGGTATTCAAACATGCAGTACATTAACTTAAATGTTTCACTAACTTCTGCAGGCCATCACCATGTCTTATCGATTTCCAGTCTTTTACGTGGTACATTTGTTTGCATCACAAACTGATCGTTTCTATGTCCATAACCTAGTATTCACTAAGAACTGAAATTTCAGGGTACAATTTTTCTTGTGGCAGAACAGTGTTTTAAATTCATCTGTTAGATAAAGAGCCAGATCCTCCAAAATACAGTAGTCGTTGATTGTTTACATGCATTGTTTTCGTTGTTTTAATGTTAGAACTATGTGTCGTTGTTGGCAAACGGTGCAAATCAAATCTATGTGCACTATAGATGTTCGCTCTGGAACGAGATAAATTTCATTAAATGTGCACACCTCCGTTCCAGCAAAAAATGTATACTATGAAATACCGCAGTGCCAGTGCAGAAACTCAAAAGTGAGTTTTACACACTACGGCTGTTGCCGGATAATTAAAGAATGTATAGCATCAACTTCCAACCCCTGTCCCTTAAATCGTCGATTTTGCCACTCGTGACGTATACTTTATAGAAAAACAGATGACCCTTAAAATTTATCCAACTAAATAGGTAAAGATCTCAGTGAAATAGTTGGGGACCACAATGGATGCCCTTTAGATTTACTGCATTTCAATTAATTAGTACCTTTCCGGCGGATCCAGTAACGGAGAGCATATTTGGTTGAACTCACATGTCACTTGAACGCACATGCCTCGTGTAAATTTTTATCCAATGGATTACTCAGCAACTAAAATGGCTGACCAAAACAGACTTACTGCTATTGACTGGCTGGAGTGGTTGAAAATACCACGTTTGTTCCTTTGGTGGTTTTCTCACTCCATTTCAAGATGTCGCTTTACGTTCTCTGTACATTAGCATAGATATGAAACTGGGTACTCACTCAGAGTTTGTTAGCGTTAAGATCCGCTTTCTCTTTGAGGCTTGGTGTATACTGCTTGCTGGACTATAATATTTGCATTCAGCGGGTGCTCAACAGCATACTTACGGAATTAACGGCAGCATTACTTGATCAAGTACATAGTAAGTAATATCACACGAATCAAACATAACCAGCCGTAATCTCTCTACTACGTTGATCCCAAGATTGAACCTAGTAATGTTTAGGCTTACTGGACTTCAGCAGAATTGAAAATCGCCTAAAGAGATGCACTCAACTAACTTGGTTTAAATGACTGCCTCAAGGTCAGTGGCCACACATGGTGTCTAGTATCTAGTTTTTGCCGCTACGATAAACTGATCTTAGAATGAGGTTTTGGAAATAACCTTTGGCGCTGGGTTGGTGGCGGGCTAAATTCAATAGTATTGGTAAAATTCGTGTGCATATACATATACAAAACATTTTGACGAATGCACCGAGCGTGAATATTCGTGACCTTTGTGTTCTAGATTGGATAAATAGGTTGTCTGTCGGTGCGTGTCGAAACCTAAAAGCCGGTGGCTGACAGTGTATCCAAAAGGTGAGATTTTCAGGAATATAAGGACGCTACTTCAAGGCAAATGTAGTTAAGTAAGCGAAAGATATAAGGACTTACTTGATCAGATAATCGTTTTGCTTCGTGGATTCGGAGATAGTGGTTCCCGTGTCTTCATCTGCGCTTTGCGAATAACTCTCAGTTGCGTACTAAGTGGAGGAACAGGAGAAAACTGGTAGACCATCAGAAACAATATTTGATAATCAGACCTCTAATGAAGCATTGTTAACCAGTACTTACTGTGATGATCTAAGAAACAGCCGTATGTATTCAACGGCGTGCGCTGAATTCTATTCTGATGTTCTGGGACACGCGATTTCCTAACACAGCTAAATGACTGGTGAGTAATAATGGTGGCTTCCAACAAGGTGGTCGAATCACACATGGCACGAGGAGAACTACAAACCATGGGTGATTTCAAAACCACTTTCAGGAATTCTGTGTATTGTTACCTATTTTTACCAACTTGTCTCCATATCAAAAAGCCACAGGCCTGTCTTTTTGGCTCTGGAAACTTCCTCCTGATGCACATAAACTGTTCCAATAATAATGACATATTTTACCTTATAATATTAACGGGGCATATAGATGACTTCGTTGACTGCAAGCATTTTTACTTCTTAAATCGTGAGTGTATTTTCAAGTTTCACTTTTAATCCGGCACTTGTAGTTTAACCATCCAGAATAGAAACATTGGGATCCACTTTGTGACAGTCATCGCTTGCGCATTTACGGAACTTGTAGATTAGTCGAAGGTTACGGATGAGCGCTTAAGCGCTACTGTTTGGTTGCTGGTATCTTGTCAACAGTCTGAATAATCTGTACCCAGAAAGAACATGGCGTCAGTCGTTTTCGTAGACATGGAGTCCGTCCTACGCAATCGTAAGTTGTTGAAGTTCATAGGCGAAAGCAGCTCATACCAAAAAAGTACTTTCTTATCGAATAAGTTTAAGCATGAGATAAAATACACGTTTAAGTCTTGACTAGTTTTGTTTTGATTGAGACGATTTCTGATTCTGGAAATAGACCGATGTGATTTTGGGGTGTATTCTTTTTAGCCCCAGTAGAAAATGTTACCAGCATACTCAATGCCCTGTAAAGTGACGGTTAGTCCTTAAATGCATGTGAGTTCATATGAACTGTAACCGTTGCGGATTATTTAAAGTACTACAAGTGTATTCTGCATTCAAACAACGAAAGAAGCAATGTCTTTTCACTTATTCCTCAGCGATGTGACTTACTTTTGCGTGATGCTTTTTCATGTCAGTGAGGGTGGATTCTCCAAAGCGGATTGGCCGCTCCCTGCAGCCATTCCCCTCGAGTTTGTGCTCACCACGCAGTTCGAATGGGCTTTCATTACTGTTTTGACAAAACGAATTAAAGAAACTGTGGAAAGATTGACCAAACGACGACTGATACTCCAACCATTGGTGCGACGGATTTGCATTAGTTAACGATGGAGCGCCTTGAGAATTGACTGCCCACTGTCCGGAAATAATAGACGCATTCAACTCAGCCGGATGTGGTAATGGTAGTAGGGGATTGGACATGCATTGTGTATTTTTTGTGCTCAGGTCAAGCCGTGCTGAGAGAGAAGTGCTGCGATGCATCAACTGTGAGCTCCAAAACCTGGAACAAACATAGGTCAAGTGACCTTTTTTAAACAAAGTTTAACGTTTAAGATTCTACAGATACTGGAAAACTTTAAAAATACCCTAATCTTTCGTAACATAGGATGTTTAGGTTTTTTTAACCTTGGATGCCACCGTACTAGACAATTTTCCCGTCTGTGAAACTGGCCATTTCATTACGAATTCACGCTGTGTGAGAGATACGTGTGAACCATCCGCTGGCGCTGGATGATAAGCAGCCGCTGTGTCTCTATGTCTTGAGAATGACAAACAGGTGTCAGCATTCTGTCGACGTTCGCTCAGGTTGTTTCAAACTGGGAATAATAGTCGCTATGAACCGACTGAGAATGCTGCTATAAAAAGGACTTACCACACAAAAGGATGAATACACGACGTGGTATTCCTAGCTAAGTTTCTCCAGTCTCGAGTAAAACAGCTAACAGAGTCATCTTTACTCGTTTACTATTTGATGATAATTGACCTACACCACTTGTGTAGATGTGGATTGTAGGGATATCCAATATTCTGTTATTCGTAGAAGCACACTCAAGCCTAATGAGGTCATAAACAGTGCAGTAACCTTGACTATGAAGGAATTTACCAAAGAATGCTTTAGTTGATAGTATAGAAAACATCTAGAAGCTCTGTCAAACCACCGAGAAATCAACTGTTTGGTTGGAACTGCTACCAATTTATTACATTTATAGTGATGCACTTATCTTCGGTTTTGAAGGAGTCCTTATTGCAAGTGATAACAGAAGCACATCAATTTTGAGAAAGGCGAATTAGTCTGGCTCTGAAAATCTGAGTTTGCCGGACATTTCGGATGCCAGTGAGAATAGACCCGTCGCATAACCCCTTGATTATTACTCACAGACCAGTTGCAGTAGAATCAGCTTAAACGCCCTGTCAGTCAGATTTAAATTTGAAGCGATGCTTTTGAATCTTAAAACTAACGCGATTAGGTCTTTGAAATATCCAGCACCAAATTTATTCAGTTAAATCAGGAACATTAGGTTCTATGGGTTATGCTTCTGGCAAAATTGCAAGCCATTAGCAGAGCATTGAAAATGAGTCTTGCCACCTAATTGGTCATGATGGATTAGACAGATGCTTGCCATAATATCTTTTCTTCACTTGAAAAATATCAATAATTTGAGCAAAGTATTTAAACTCAGATGACACCTAAGCATGTTATATACAGTTATGGAAAATCCGAATGCAAGCCAGGTGATCCGTTTTCCTACATGTCGCAGTGAAGTGATTATCGCCAAAACACAACTACAGAAACGACACTTTTAATCTTGTGCTCTGCGTCATACAGAACGCAACAATTGCTTCGTGTGTAGTCATCAAAGTCTTATATTGGCAGAAGTATTCGTCCACGACGGTACCATTTGTGGTCACTGTCTCCGAATATGTTTTTGAGAAAGGTATACTCTCTGGAAGATCGTGTAGAAAAATGCGAGTAAAAAGTGCGAGTGCAAAACAGAAACACTTCTAGTAGTTTACAGTCAAGGAATAAAAGAATGAATCCTCTCTTCTTTATTTTTAAGCTATCAAGATACGGAAGATTACGCCTTGTTTACGATGGAGTACATTTTAACCGAATCACTCTGAAGTAACCTTGAACGAGAAAGCTTCACAAGCGAGGCAGGTTTCACCGCTGTTTTACTGACGGTGCTGAGGAACAGCATAAATCTTTCCACAAGCCTGAACTTAACTCTCGGATACAGATTTACACTGTTAAAAACTCACCAGTAGTAAATAGAACGCAAGAGTCTATAAATTATACCAACATCATGACCTAATTCCTTCACCTTGGAGATTTTGTCTGTAAGAGGAGCCAATCCATGCTGGAAAATTTGGCTTTCCAGCACAGATTGGTTGCATTCACAAGACGAAATATTCATCAGAGTTCACAAATTTCCCCACACTAAGAAAAGAGAGATTTGTAGCACAAAGAATCATCTGGGAATTGACACTATTCGCATAACTAAGCTACCGTTTCTCTGCTTACAGGTTACGCACTGGTCGGTTTGCCTTCTTTGTATGGGCCATCGTAAGGCAACTAAAGATGTGACGACGTGTAAAGATTATTTCGTACAGAACGCCTACTGAGTTCAACACTGTTAACTAATTAGAGGCATCCGGGGCTCATGTGCTAAAATACCTCGACCCTTATTCAACCATTTTCCGCAGAAAAACGACTGATGTATTTCGAAATGTTCATGGTTTTTATAGACTTTCGACTCATTCTTTGGTTAACAGGCTGCTGCGACTCTCCACTGTGATTTCGGTAAGCTTACCATGTTTTTCTCGTTTTGTGTCGGGAACTCAGCATAGAATTTCGGATTTATTTAATCATACCGTACCCAATATGCAGAACAAGGGAGAAAGATCGTAGAGTTAGGATAAAACAGAGAGTTTTGAGACGCTTCTCTAATCTCCACTATTTAGTGTTTTGCTTCCAGAGGGTATTGAACGTTTGGCAAAGCTTTTTTGTTTATAGAGTACATTTGAGTTTTCCTTTTTTTCGCGAGCAGTTTCGTTTGTAATGGTAGGATATCATACGCTTAATAGGAATGAATGCTTATGTATGAGTGAACATAATAATTTATCAAGTTTTATTTCGTAAGAGGTCGACAGTTTTCATCTAATTCTTCCATAGTGAATACCAATAATGCATAGAAATGTTTGCAGTCACTTCGTTTATTTGCAAATGGCTGAAATAAGTGGATCCTACTGGTGTACCTTTTAAAATAGGTTCAATATTCATTATCCACCTAAAGTGATTTCGTGGCCAGGATGTACTCACACGATTGCAGGATTATGAAAGGCGAAGACGTTATTTTCCTCATCCAAACTCTTTAAAAACGGCATGCCAGTGATAAGTGACTCACCAAATCAGATTGCGCTTTTTAAACTTTAGAATGTCGCTTCAATAATTCCTTTATATACACATCAAAAGATATGTGGTTGACAAGCTCAACAAATTAACTCAGGATGGCAATTTTTTGAATCAACCAATCAGGAAAACTCTAGAGCCGATAGATGAATGATTGATGATGTTAATGCGAACAGGTGCTGATAATTAAATTCAGCCGTTCATTAAGTCAGGATATTAGCAAACATTTTTCTAAAGTGAAGACCAAAATAGAGCATCCTCCGGTTCTTTATTCACTTTTTTGTGTTGTCCGTGTACGTGTATCCAGTGATAGCTAGAATGTAAAAAACCCTTGTTGTAACAAGATGATTATAAACGGTTGTATTTTAAGATCATTCCATAGTGTGTACGAATGTGGGTCAAAGTCCAAGCACTTCACCTGAGTGCCTGTGACGAACGCAGTCAAATAGAGTCTATAGTCGAAAGTCCACTGAGAGTGAAATGAAGCACGTCTGACAGTAGAATATTGTAAAACGGCATTGTAAACCAGAAGGGTGGCTTAATCAGAAAGATTGGGAGATGACCTATTCTGGTGTTTTTTGCCTAGGATAGTTTTACAGGTGCAGACAGGTCTTTCTACTCCACCCTGCAGTCTTGATCAAAGTGAATTCAGTGCAGTTATGATCAATGGACAGAGCAACCATATGTTATTTTTTTCGTTTGCTATTATGAACACTGGATAGAGGATATTACAGAATTGAATAAGTTCACAACTCAAAGCGATCACACTTTATCCTGTTGTTAACTCGGTAGGTACACCTAAGTTCAGTGCTCTTTGCTAACTTTCATGCTTTTAATGTCCATTCCAAAGTATCTGTTTGCTCAAGCTTGATGATGCCCTTTATGTCTCACTAATTTACATCATTCGTCATGGAAACTGGGGATATCAACATCTAGACTACGCAAACGGGAGCCCGGAACCAGTGCAAGTTGCTAATTGTTAATCAATCAACCAAGGCGTGATAAGTCATAGGTGAATTTTTAGAAGACATATAAGGTTTAAATTAAGTGACCTTGGAAGCTTAGGTGGCTCAGTACCCATCAGGTAAGCGATTGGTTTATTAATCATGTGTTTCCTAGTTGAAATCCTCACTTGTAGGGATTGTTTATACAAACCCAACCAATAGTCTACTGGGTCATGAAATATTTCATTTAAATGCGTTTACAAACAAATATGGCGAGGGTTGTACTTTATGTGGCGGACGAGGATTTCTGCTCCTGAATATATTTTCAGATTCTGGATAATTTTGTTCTCATCGCCTCAGCGGCAAGGTTGATTTATTTGTCACTCAGTCATCAGTTTTCAGATTAGATATTACAGATACTTAACAGCACTCACATCAGACTCACTAATATGAGTACGAAAAAATCACATTTCGGTCCTAAAAGAAAGAAACACACGATTTTCACACAGTTTAATGAATAATAGATTGGGGGATTGTATGCATCAAAGTATCGGCCGTTGTCACTTCCGGAGTGGACCGTTTCGCTATGGATGTTTCAACACAGTGAGGCACTCTTTTATTTAAGTTTCTTGACCAAACGCTCTGAGAAAGCCTCTCAAGTTTGCTGCTGCAACGAACCTTCACATGGAACCTTCGGGATAGTTTGATGCACCCTTATCAGTATTCCCGGTTCTAAAGAATTACAACTGACTGATACTATTGCTAGTCTCTCGGGCAGTCTCAAAAACCCTTATCAAAGCTTGTGATTGTTCCTTCAAAAATGAACGCGTTCTGAATGTGAAACCACGAGTAATCAGGGATCCCACTTAGCACTTGCATCTCGTTCTATTGGTTCAACAAAGACTCAGATTTGAACGTGAAGTATAGCTTCTTGCAGCCGTTTTTCCCTATACTTCACTTTGAATGTCTTATTGCATCCTATCGCTTGTGGGTAACTAATGAACGATAACGTTTGTAACGTTTGTAACTGTATTAAAATCGCTCAGAGAGGAAGATAAAGGCGGTGTGTTGAGCGCGAAAAGGCGGAATGAGTATGACAACCTACCAACTTTAAAGATATTACTTTTAGACTGAGCAGTGTTAATA